AGGTAGCAGGATTTCCAGCATGCCACAGGCTGAACCTCTAAACCAGCCCTGAACAACTCCGAGTCTGGCAGAACCAGAGGGCTGCGACCAGACGCTGTGAGCACATGCACACCTCTGTGCCAAGAAGGACCAAGGTCCCATCTTCTGCGCATCTCTTACATCACCCACCACAATACACCCACCTCCATCCCATATCCCCTACTTCACTGCAGCTATTCCCACCTCACACCCTGTGTCCTATTGCAGCCTAGCTGCTAGACCTATTAGCTTCCTTCATAGCTCCCTCCTCGCTGCAGTATCCCAAAGCTCCCCAATATCCCTCACATCCCTGCCATCTCCTTCCACAAGTGTGCTTTTCCAGCTGAGCAGATGACTGCATATACTACCCAGCCAGCTCACCCAGAAGTATAGCTGTGCTCACTGGGAATGAAAACGTCCGTTTTGATTTGAAAAGCCATGACTGCAAATTTAAACATTAGCACAAGCCTGCATTCTTCAAAAGGAATCATCGCAAGCTTGGCTATATTAAATACGAGATAAAGCCTAGATGGAAAAACAGAACTGCTAGTCAGGAAAGTCTGCTTTTTCAGCAGCCTTAACTGCCTATAAATTATGAGAGATGGATTTGAAGACATAGTCTCCTGTGATACACCAAGTAAGCCAAGAAAGGTCATCTTAACTGTAAGACTGCTTTCTCTATAGTTTTACAGCTTGCCAGAGAAGTGCATGCAGTTATTCTGATTGGAACGACGACCTGAAACTTGATGAGATAAAGTTGTACGAGTTTCCAAGTCACCTTCAGATAAACATAGTAAAGCTTTTTGCAGCAACAGCTATCTTTCCCCCTTTCTTACACAGCCAAAAGCAGCAAGGAAAAAAGAACGGGGGTGGGGGGTGGGGGGGAAGCTATATAATTATTAAAAAAAAAAGTTGAGTTTGAAAGTGGCAGGTTTTTTTTATAAATAAAAAGGAATGAGACATGCTTTGCGAATAGCTTAATATAGTTTTGAACAGGAAAAATGGAAAACGAGAGTGAAAGAGTTTTGAGCAGCGCACACATACGTAACTTATAGTCACATACACCATCTGCAAGTCTGGCCAAAATCCATTAGTTTTCTTTCAGTTGAGTGTCCTGACCCTTCACCAGAGGTTGAGCCTCCATAATGGTAAGATATTACCTCATTAGGTGCACAAGGCGAGTTACAGTCGACCACAAGGGTATCAAGCCAGATTGAGCTCATCTCAATGTATGGATTGAGAAATGAGACAGTAGTACACTAAGCTGAAGCACCTAAAACACTGGGACCGTCAAGCTTCTAGAAAGCCTGCCCCCCCCCCCCAAAAAAAAAAGAAGCAGCAGTGCTCTCTGAGAGTTTAAGTGACTCAGTTCTGTCTTCTTCACGCCCCAAAATGGACAACTCCATCCAGTTGCCTTTCAAGCCACTGAATGGAACAGAAACAAGGGATAAAACCTATTTAGAAGAAAAGGATCAGGGTGGAATCGTGAACTCCTTGCCACAGGATGCTATGGAATTCAAAAGGGCAATGGTATTCAGAAAGAGGATTAAATCAATTAAGGGAGGATCCACAGCTATTGTGATTTTGATATAATTTCTGGCTCAAGAACTTTTTAAACCACTGATGACGGGGAGAAAATAACCAGGAATAGATCACTGACTGCTTTTGTTGGTTTAACTCCTCTTTCCTGAGAGGGCCTCTACACACATTAATTTAGGCACAATACTGAGCTAGGTAGACTACTGACCTAACCCACCTCAATCATACTTGGCCCACACTTGCACAAGCACAGCCCGCTGTGAGGATGAAATGCATATGAATGCTGTAAGTAATCCCCATTGACAAAAGAGATGTTCACTAGGAAACGTATACTTTTCACCAGAATTAACTCTGGAATCTGCTGGCAATTACAAAAGAAGCTTTCACAGAGCCTATAAGTAGAAAGCACTTTGCAGAAATCTCACCGCAGTTTTGTTCTGCTGCTAGAACCAAAAATAAAATAGCATGCATACCCTGCTTATCTTGCAATCCTGTGGTTGTCTCCAAGAAGGTCCTACCCTCCTGCCTTGTAACCAGAAAAACTCTTCACTTCCTAAGCACATGGGGAGAGGAGGAAATGCATACGCATCTTCTC